GCTCAATAGGAAGCTGATCATATATCTCCCACTCATCTTGAATATTCCTGACAAGTCATCAAAAGATATCTTGGAGACATTTCTGAATACTGCAGGAAGTTGTTTATACAGAGTGGGCCTTTGAAAACGAAACAGAGGATCTGTAGGTCGCCAAAACCTTCTTATGAAAAAAATCTGAAACACGTCAACTACATTTTCGAGGGGGACATCGTCCAAAAATATTTTCAGCTCTGCGGCGTTGCCGCTTTTAACGAAAAGAAGCAACAACTTTGTTATTTCAAATGGAACACCTTGTATTTCATTGCATTTTCAGATTCTCCCTGAAGAGCTGATTTCATCAATGCATCACACTTGGGGTCTAGCTGTAAAGGTTTCAGGGATATAAAGTGTTCAAAATCGAGGTTTTTCAACTTGAGCATTTTTTTGTGTCAAAACTATTCATTATTGGTCAAAACGGCCTTCATGTCCCTATCTCAACTTGTGATTTACTATCTACTAACATTTAATTGGAACAGATACAGGGTGATCAGAATACTGAATTTTGAACCACCCTGTATTTGTTTCAAATAAATGTCAGTAGATAGTAAATCACAAGTTGAGATAGGGACATGAAGGTCGTTTTGACCAATAATGAATAGTTTCGACACAAAAAAATGCTAAAGTTGAAAAATCTCGATTTTGAACACTTTATATCCCTGAAACCTTCACAGCTAGACCCCAAGTGTGATGCATTGATGAAATCAGCTCTTCGGGGAGAATCTAAAAATGCAATAAAATACAAAGTGTTCCATTTGAAATAACAAAGTTGTTGCTTCTTTTCGTTAGAAGCGCCAACGCCGCAGAGCTGAAAATATTTTAGAACGATGTCCCCCTCGAAAATGTAGTTAACGTGTTTCAGATTTTTTTCATAATCCGGTTTTGGCGACCTACAGAGCCTCTGTTTCGTTTTCAAAGGCCCACTCTGTATATCGTCCTATGCATATCTCAGAAGATCCTATATAGGATGTCTTGAGAACATCTTAAGGGGCTCACAACTTGGGAGTATAGGAATGATATACCAGAGATACCCTAGCCGGATACTCATCTATTTACAACTTGTCTTGGACAATTTCCTTTCGACTTTTCAGTTCTCAATATTTCCTATCGGCCTCTATTGGCGAACTCTACTATTTTGGAATCATTGTCAGTTGACCGAAAGTCTATTCGTCGGAAGTGAATTCGTCGAAGTCAATTCGACGAAAGTCAATTGGCCGAATACGCCAATTGGCCGAATACGTCAAAAATTGGGTCAATCCATCGAATTTCATGTGTTATAAGATATAAAGATATTTTGAATGTCTTTTCGAAGTGCTTTTAGTTCTTCTTCCAGAAGCCTCTACAAATTTATTCTAATTCAAAGATACAATATACAGATAGGTCGATTATGAGAAGACGACGTGAAAAACCAACGTTCGCCTTTGCTGTTTGAAAAATTTATGAACGATTCAAGAATGATCTGCTTAGATCGAATAATGCTTCGAAAGCAATAAGGCATAGAAGATTAGGAAGTTTGATTTCTTGCAGTCATCTTTCAATATGGTACAATATTCTGAACGCAAAATGAAACAGACGTTAACTGGAATGACGAGAAACGTATGGACATTTATGTTCATCTAGACAAAAGAGTGAATACAGATATGTTGAAGATCATTTCGAAAATCTGTCGATTACTGAGAAGTATTGCTCATAATTTCAAATAATATATCATTAATTAATAATTGAATAGATATGTATAGAATCATTGAATGATTGAAACATAAATTGTAACGAAGCAGATTATTTATCAATTATCAAATATTCTCCATGATCTTTTATTTTTTACCCCGCGAGGGACCGCGCGGGGTAGAAAATACCCCAGGTGATATAAAATTACGATTTTTTTGCTAAATCTGCACGGCACTGGAAAATTACGCCAGCTCAGTTACTAAATATGATCAATTAACAATTTTTGCATGTATTTCGTCATTAGTTCTGCACACATGGTGGATTGTTCCTGAGGTATATCCATACCCCACGCGGAAGAGACTTGAAATCTTCTAAATCTGAATTTGTGTCTGTACAAATAGAAATTCAACCTCAAAACGAGCATCCTGCAATGGTAGTCAAATATTGATATCATCCAGGACAACAAAAATTGAGAAGTAATTATAAAATGGTACGTAACATATATCATTTACTCGTTAATTGAAAGTCATTATTCAATTTAAGTTTATCAATCAAATTAAATTTGTTTTTTATTATCATTGTTTGTTTCTTTCATTATTGTTATGAATAATGGAATTCTACATCGGACAACGGTTTTTTTCGTCTGAAAGTCCTGAAATTCAATCACAACCAATGGGGTAGATTACTACCCCAGGCGGTCCACGTTTACGTTTTTATTGGCGCGGTCCCTCGCGGGATATAGAAGTTGCATCAGTTTGAAGTTAGTGATAGGGTTTTTGCTCGGGTTTTCGATTATTCTTCTTTCTTCAGCGATGGAATTGGAACTGAGACACAACAGTGACAGGGGAAATAGAATAGAAATAGAAATAACTGTCTTTGGTTGTTCATGATTCGAGTATGAACTAGATTTCTACAAAAAAATCGGCCAATTCATTCCAACTGACATATTCGGCCTAATAGGCTAATTGACTTTCGACAAATTGACTGCGACGAATTGACTTTTGACGAATCGACTTTCGGTCAACTGACATCCAGCCCTATTTTTTATTCCCTCCCAAAGCCCAACCTCACCTTGATGCGGGGAAGTACAAAGCCGCGGCTGCTCACTAGCGTCTAGCGCAAGGAGGTATTAGTATAAACAACGTAGTGGGAGAACCGCGCAAGCGAGACGCGGACGCGGACGCGGACAAACATCACCTATGCCTTCACCTATCGACATGCCCGACGAACGTTGGAGCGAAGGATATATATATACAGTATGATGCAAATGTATGGAATAAATTCATTTCAAAACAAGACGACTTCCGAAAAAAATCCAAAAAGTAGAGTTCAGAACTTTTTTATCGATGTATTTTTTCAACTAGACGACCCTTCGATGTTCAATTCTCAGTAGAAGATCTCTGCAAGATTCAGTTAACCAAATGATAATCCATTTTAATTTCAATCTTCTTTTGCAAAATTTTGACTATTGGATAGACGATCAGTAGACCTTTCAAACGAGGTGTCACATGACCCCTGTTTGTATTTAAAAAAACCGTCCATTACGTCATTACTCCAACACCGGTGACGTAACATCTCTCATATGAATGTCATGAGATGTGGTTTCAAAAATTAAAACTCACGTGTTTTTGGAATATCTTTAAATGTCGCCCATTTCTGAAATAATGAATTTATTCCATACATTTGCATCATACTGTATATAGAACTTCACGTTTTCTCCAGATACTCTCTGCGATGACCACGTCATTCTGACCATCTACCAATTTTGGATTTTCAAATGGAATAATACATTCTGTATATTATTCTATCACTGATTATGGGTTATACCATTACGATACCACAAATATACTGACAATATATCAACTTACTTGCCATTATCACTAGTCTTATTATTAGTAATTAAATAAAGAAAAAATGTATTCAGATATTCAGTTTCTTTATTCATGATGTAAACTTAAATGCTTAAAGAATAATATTGTATTTTCTGTAGTAGTCCATGCTCAAAGTGGAGTGGAATGATCAATAGAGAAAAAACCCAAAGTCGTCTCCACAATTTTTAATGTATAATCAGGCAGTCAATCCTGCTTCATTAAGGTTGATACATGTTTCGGCCATTCAAATGGCCATCTTCAGTCAAAAGAATATAACAAAGTGTATCTACAATAGAAAACCAATCATGATTTTTTATATAAGAAAAATTGAAAATGGAAAAGACAACAGTTGTAAATTCAAATTGAATTGATTAACAATTTCGGTTAGATCAAAGAGCAACAGTGATTTTTATGAGTATACAATGATAATAGATCAGTAATTGATAATAAAAGTGAAAAACAAAATTTTGTCAAATCAAAATTCTGAAAAACAAAATGGGGAACCATAGATCAATTACTGATCAATTATCATTGTATACTCATGAAAATCACTGTTGCTCTTTGATCTAACCCAAATTGTTAATGAATTCAATTTGAATGAAGATGGCCATTTGAATGGCCGAAACATGTATCAACCTTAATGAAGCAGGATTGACTGCCTGATTATACATTGAAAATTGTGGAGACGACTTTAGGTTTTTTCTCTATTGAATATTGTATTTTATGAATACCTATAATAGGTATAGGTATCCCAATTTTATGTTTTCATTTCATGGCCTCAATCTCCAAATCCTCATATCAGTATTCAAAGTGTTAGTTTTGTGTTATTAGACTTTTAATAACATGTGTTGTCAGCCGCGCGTCGTTATAGGTGATGGGCACAGTTGATGTTTGCCCGCGTCCGTGTCTCGCTTGGCGCGGTTCTCCCACTACGTTGTTTATACTAATACCTCCTTGCGCTAGACGCTAGTCGGCTGCTCTGCATCTTTGTTCTGAACACTCAGATGGGACCGTTTCATGGACATCTGTGTGCAAACATGGAACAATTCGTGGATATCAGCTTTTGCAACCGCGGCGGATTGATGCATGATGCAATGGCAACCTAATCCAAATTGTAGAAACCCGTGACGAGAGATGAATAGCACTATGAGTTCAAGGGCGGTCGTACAGGAGTTTCTTATCCCTCGCCCCAGAGCATTACAACAAATCATTTTTTGAGATTATATTCATGAAAAAAATTGTGAAAACACGATTCGAAAAAATAATAAACAAAAAAAATAGATTGAATTGAAGAATCGGCTTTTATTTGATGAAAATGGCCTCTATCTGTTGGAAGTTGAGTGATCTGTGGTGAAAGCTCCGAAAAGTAACTTGAAAATTTCCAAAAATGTGAATTCATTCTATGCCCCGAATGCTATATCTCACCTAGCACAGGAATCAAATTTATGAAGGTTCTTGGGGAATGCTTCTGCAAGAAATCTAGCGCTCTGGCCAATTTCCTCACGTGATTCTCTGCAGAAGCGGCAATCTTGTCGAAGCATTGGCCTGAGCAGATGTCGTTCGCACCAAAGAAAATTGTGATCATTTTCCAGTCTCTCTTCATGTCGATACCTGTGAAAAATTACAGAAAATTCTATAATTGATAGTTTTTGAAATGTCATATAATAAGAGGAGAAGCTTCCAGTGGCGTTATTAGGACTCATCCCTGGGGGAATAAGTATAGGTTCAAGATTTGATATTCAGGTAGAAGAAAAGCGATACGTAACTTACGTTGGTTTTAATAAATGTGTGTATCATCCGGTACCAATAACAAAATGAAGATGGAAACTTGTGATTTTTATAGACCTCTAATCGCAGATTCGTGATAGAGTCTCAATTCAGAATTTCTTTCCACGCCCTGTATGATGAATGTCAATCTATCATACACCCAAAAGCGAAGAAGAGAGTATTGAAAAATAATCGTTAAAACTGCTTTTATCATGCGATGGGTTTTTTTCGAAAAATTCTCTTTGGTACCTACGTATTTGTGTCTAAAAAACACGAATTTGATGATGAAAATGTGAACAAACCATTATTCATCAGGCTATTCGACTATAAAGTTATAAATTTCGATTTCTTTTTTGCCTGTCTTCTGGATGGCATTTATAACAATTCGTGCTCCTCTTTTTATCATTGGACAATTTATATATATATCACAATGTATGACACATTTTTATCTATTATATGAGTCCACTAGAAATATGATTTCCTTGAGATTTATCCATATTTAGTGAAAAGAAAGAAGAATATCATTCAGAGTAATGGAATGAGTCATGTCATTCCAAAGCAATCTATTGACATTTGACATCTCGTATTCGAATTGACTAATGATTGAATGGCCGTCATCTGGTATGCTTGTTCACTAAATATCAAAAACTCGCCATAAGAATCATATTTCCTGTTGACTTTTCCATATAAAAATGTATCATTGAAGTACATCACGAGTATATAAAGTGTCCAATAATGACAAAATAAGAAGAGCAAGTAGCTGTAAATGCTTTCAACATAAGTGGAGGAAGAAGGCGAAATTACGAACTTTTTCTTGAAATATCTCGATGAATAGTGGTTTGTTCACATTTTCATCATTGCTATTTTTATTTCACTCTCCTGGTTGTTAAAAATCAAGGAATCTGCTTGCATTCTTCTGAACGGAGACAATAGCATTGCTTCCTGTTCAGTTGATATAGATAGAACATGGTTTTCACTATTGAAATCTATAGATGGAAATGGTAAATTCAAGATTAATTAATGAAAACATCCTGTAACTCATTTGATTGTCAACGTCACCAATTGTCACTGAGAACTGACAAATACGTATTTGCGATACAAAAAACCCATTTTTCAAGTTGAGAACGGAAGCAGATTCATTCCCGAAACGTCCAAAGCTAAGTAGTACGTAAGCCTTATGCAAGCGTTTTAACCCATTTCATTCGAGATCCATGTCGTGACCATCTTTCCTTGTTCACGATTGCCTGGAAAAAGGTTAGTTGAATTTTTGGACCCCCCCCCCACAACACCCTCAAAACTGAGTTTCTTTTTTCTACCTAACTAACAGTTACTGTAGCTATAGGGGTGGTGGTGCAATTCGAGACACATTTTTATGTAAAGAAAAATTCTCATTTTGACCACAACAATAGGCCCTCAAAATATTTTCATAGAATTTTGAATCACCCTGTATATGGATGGTTCAATGAAGAATCAGAAAATTGTACAGGGTGAACAACTAAGAACGGCTGTCAGCCATATCTCAGCAACGAATAATGATACAATTTTGAGAAACAAATATCTCCAGAAAAGTGAGCCTAAAAAATAGCTTGACAATATTTTAAGGTCCCTTAAATAACCGCTAGGTGGCGTAACGGCTATGAGTAAATTGAAATTTTATCCGTATGTGGTAGTAACAAGGTGTACTGAGAATTTATGCAGTTCGATCCTTGAAGAATCCCTAGTTTTTTTCTGCCCCACACTTTTTGTCCCATCTCAAAAAATAAAGTGGGAAGACATCAAATTATGTTTTTTCTCTCTGTAACTCTGGTTATCTTCAACAGAATTCAACCGTTGTAGAAGCATCTTCCTGTTCTATCAACTGTGATTTGAATTGGTTTCATATTCATATCACCATTGCTGCTAGAGGGCGTGATCTAGAGTATAATTGGATATCGCGATTAAAGAAATTGAATGTAATTGTATACATTTGCAGGCCAGCGTAGCATCGTGGTTAGAGCGTCAATGTTCTATCCACGTTGGATTACCGGTAGTGGGTTCGATTCCCACCACGACCGCAGAAATTTTTCTGATGGCCTAAGAAAGTGTTTGGGATCACACGTTAAAAAGTAAGACCCCCGTCATTCCTTGCTCGAACAAGTCACTTGAAGACTTCTGAGGGTTGCTCGTAAGGGGGCAACCGAATGATGGATAAGAACAATTTTAGAACAATTTCAGGACAATTTTTAGAACATATCATCACACGACGGAAAAGAGAAACTGAATCTCAACAGACCAACGAAAATCGCAACATAATAGTTTTTCGCTAACAAAAGACATTAACGATCAAAGTTGGAAGAATGATTGATGACAGTGGTTCTTAGTTGTACACCCTGTACACATATTGGAGTCGTGAGGAATGAGCACAAAAAATTGATGTTTTTTCATATCATCTCCATCTCTTCAAAACTATATAGTTCTTGTACGTTTTCAATGACAATAACTATAACCTCCGATAATCTTTCGGAGGTTCTAACAAATCACAAATTGGATTCCCGCGATATTTCCTGTACTCATGTCTATTTTTCTATTATAAGAATTGTTTACCAGATGGTCCAGACCCCATGGACTTCTCCCTTAATTACGCCACTGGAAGCTTCTATGTGACTTCCTCAATTTGCTAAATGGGACACACTAAAACGCCGAAGAAAACGTCCTGTATAGCCGTTTGGGCAAATTTTCTCAGTTCAGGAGGGGTGCAACTTAAGTTTGGCTCTTCAGTCTTTCTCAAAATAGAAAATTCAGGTTTTCAATGAACCGACAGTTTCAAATTGTAACACTAGAATGATGATGTTGATTTGAATGAGTTTTTTGCCATCTGTCAAGTTTTTTTAATATTTGATGTTTCTATTGATGAAATTTCATAATTGAGAGTACCTACAAATGAATGCGAAATACAAGATATAGTATATTGTCCTTGATTATACAGGGTGTTTCAGTTTTTTGTAGCAGGACTTCAACAGCTTGAAGAAGACATTTTTTTAAGATGGAAATCTCATACAAACATATATGCGTGAAAGCTTCGTTTCCGATTCACAGGGTGTCAAAGTTTCAGATTTTTTTTATGTTTTCTGAATTTCCTCCTACAATTTTCGGAATAATTGATTGAAATTAAGTACACCTAATACACTTCAAGAACTCAATATTTGAGGCTATTGAGCGTTTTTGAATACTTACAGGGTGATAGACTTTCAGGGGTCGTACCCAATTTAAGCCTGTAGAACTTTTTTGCGTGCCGTCTCTGCTTTCAATGGGACATAGATTCAGATTGTCCTTTCGATTTGGAAACTTTTTGCCCCTGTGTAAATTTTTCGAAAACTGTATGGATCGCGAGGTAAATGCCAAAAATAAATTACTTGTAATAAAACCGTTATTTCTCAAACACACTTATTTGAAATTTCTCAAACATATTATTGGAAAATAGAATGACCGAAAGCTTCCATACCAAATGAAATTCAGTTGCAAAATTAGATTGACTTTTTTGAACACCATTATAATTAAAACTAGGGAAAACAAAGAAAAAATGTTTTTATTTTGAAAAAACTTCTCTAACTAGATTGCAAAATGTGAAATTGTATTGTAGAAAATTCTAGGACACCCTGTATGACTGAAACTGGTTGAACTTTCGATATCAGGGACTGTATGACACACGGTCTAGGCGCTATACATCGCTAGACTGTCGCTTCTGACGGTTGAGGTGTTGTGAGTTTTAATAATTCAATCTCGTGAACGGCAATTCCAATTTTATCAGTAACCTTAGAAGTGGTTCGGACTCCACTTTTAGTCATCTCGAAATCCATATAGTTTTCGAGAAACATACATTGGGGCAAAAAGTTTCCAAATTGCAGAGACAATCTGAATCTATGTCCCATTGAAAGCAGAGGCGGCACGCAAAAAAGTTCTACAGGGTTAAATTGGGTACGACCCCTGAAAGTCTATTACCCTGTAGTTATTCGAAAACGATCAATAGCCTCAAATATTGAGTTTTTGAAGTGTATTAGGTGTACGAAATTTCAATCAATTATTCCGAAAATTGTAGGAGAAAATTCAAAAAACATAAAAAAAATCTGAAACACCCTGTAAATCAGAAACGAAGCTCCCACGCATATATGTTTGTTTGAGATTTTCATCTTGAAAAAATGTCTTCTTCAAGCTGTTAAAGTCCTGCTACAAAAAACTGAAACACCCTGATGTATACACTAGTGTGGATACTCAAAGATATTGTCCACGTTTTGTTAGACATATTGTCGCACTTGTTTTTTTGGAGCACAAAACTTGTATAATAATATACTATGGTGTCACTCGTTACACAAAGAGACGCGTTTTCTAACTGGTTACGTAAATATCTATCTCAATTTGCAAATCTTCACTCTACCTCTATCGTTCTTCATTTTCTTCAGGAGGATCTTCGCCTGTCTCAGGGCGTCAGCATCTGCTGCAACCGGGAAAGCGACATTCAGCTTAGCATGTTTCGATAAAAACTCCCCGGTGCCCGTCGAATACCCCGTCAGGTTGGGGTTAAACTCCTTCAGGATGTTTGGGAGGGTGAGGTATTCCCTCCATGTGCCTTGACCACCTTCAAAATAAACATCAATTACTCAGTATCCATTCTCTCGACCACTTGAATGGGTGGTTTCTAGATACATGACATAACACAAAATGATTAGAGAATTTGCTCCTGCAGGATCTACAATACTCTGAAGTTGAGCCCCCGAAATAGTTATTCATTTACCTGATAATAATACTTCAATTTGGGATAACATGGACTTCTACGAAAGTTATTCATGCAAATAAATACAAAAAGCTCAAAGTCTTCATCTAACATCGTTGTTTATTTCATGAACATTTGTGGAAATGACTTTTGAACTCCTTGTATTCCTTTGAAGTACTTGAGAGGCAAGAAAGTGTAGACATAAGTTCATTGTTTTTGGTTATGCGAAATATTCATTCATTTGGCGTGTTTTGTTTCATCAAAAGGACTGAATTTGTTGGTGTGAACTGATTGTTGAAAAGGTTTGTGATTTCAAATTGATAAACAATGGGGATTTATTGTGTCGCCTTTAGATGCAAGAACGAGCAAGGTAAAAGGAAATTGTCATTCCATGGGTTAGTTGAATGTTGTGAAGATTTTTTTGAAAATATAGTTCTTGAAATGATCATCAGTTAGGTACAATGTTCCCAGTCTCAGAATATGTTCAAAAACTATACTTGTATTATTTGTCAAAGTTGAATACTTCCATGACTTTTCCAAAAACATATTAGGTAATTTTAATTGTTACGGTTTTCCATTCAGAAGACCAGACATTCTTGAATTATGGATCAAGGCAGTTTGTAGAGAGAATTGGACTCCATCCAAAACCAGCAAGCTTTGTGGAGAGCATTTCCTGCCAACTGATCATTTAGACATACCAGGTACTGCTAGGTTATTGAAACCAGATGCTGTACCCAGTATATTTTCATTTCCTACCATTTGTTACCAAAAAATGCTCATCCTCGCAGGAGAATAAGAAAACTAGTAGGTACCTACTTGATCAATAATGAAAAACAAGTATGTTTGCACCTCTTTGAAATAAAAAACTAGCTTGTAATTTAATTTTCAGGATGTATCTGTGTACGTTCATAATTTGCGTCCTAAGGAAGATGTTCCTCATATTATGGACTTTGATTCGTCTATGACTTCCAGCTCCGGTGTTGTTAGTCCATGGGAATACGTGGCAGGAAGTTGAAAACAAAACCAAGTCAGACATCAACAAGATTATAAAGTGGTTCGACAATAATTTACTAACTATCAATATAAATAAAACAAACTATGTGCTATTCGGAAACAGCTCGAACCTTCCTGACCAAACATACATTGATATTTTTTTAACCTCCAGAAATTCCTCCATTAACCTAAATAGAACAAACACAACCAAATACTTAGGAGTTCACATCGACTCAAATCTGAAATGGGACAGTCACATCCATCACCTCTGTAAAAGAATACGATCCCAATTATACCTTTTCTTCGTTTTAAAAAAAGTTCTCAGTATAAAAGACCTAAAATCAATCTATTTTTCCCTGGTACAATCTCTTTTAACTTACGGTATCCTGGGTTAGGGAGGTGCCTACAACACAACTCTTGCACCACTTGAGATTCTACAAAAACGGATACTAAAGATAATTTATGGTCTGAACGTGGTCTGAACGTACGCTTTCCTACCAGTGACCTCTATGATTTCTGTAAAATATTCAGCATCAGATATATCTACTATAAAAGCGTGCTTTTATACGTATTTAATAATAAACACCAGTTCAAAATTGTTGACCACATCCACAATACCCGCATGAATATGAGTGCAAACTTTGAAGTGCCCAAAATGAAGAAATCTATAGGACAAAGAACGATTGTTTTCACAGGCCCTAAACTATATAACCGTCTCCCAATTTCAGTCAGAGAAATTAATGTATTTACTTTATTCAAGAAAAAAACTATCGTATGGCTCTCAGACAGTGTTATTAATATTTTCTAAGAAAATCATACAATTTTTGACAGGCAAACTCAACCATACGTCTCAGCGAGTCATTGAATATCAATCAATTTTCATATATCGCTCAATACCTTCCTGTTTCAGTTATTCATACCATATCCATAAATCTGTAACTTCAGTATTTTTTATTATTTCATTTTCAAAATCGATAGGTCTTAGTTCCAAGATGTAGCTCTAATTACACATTTAGTTATGGACTGTACAATCCTTAGCCAAGTTGCTACTTTGCAGACAGGTTTTCTGAAAACGTAGTAAACGTCCCAGACTTGAGAATTGATCAAATTAGATATCTATTTAATATAATTTAAGGACTGTACAGAACCCACTCTCTCTATACATATTTATTCGCATATCTTCCAGATCGCCATAATATAAATGAACTAATTTTTCCTCATATACATCTACTATATGTACTAATTATTGAATCGAACTGAATAAATATCTATCTATCTATCTATCTATCCCAAGATTCGAAGTTCACCAATAAAGAAACCTAAACTGTTCCTTCCGAGAAGGATATTGTAATGAGAATTGTATTTTTCAAATTTCTAATAGGGATAATATGTTTGTAGGCAGTGACATAATGGAAACATAGGAACCTATGGAAGTTATGCTCAAAATGGACCTTAGGTACTCAATACCATTCAATAACCTCTTTTAAAATGTTTCCTATCGTTTTTATTTTTCTTCTGATAGTGCTGAGACATTGGGCTTCGCTCACCCTGTAGAATATATTGTGACTTCTGGATGAAAATATATAATTCCAATTTTGTATTCATTCGACTTCCTAATCCTGTAAGAATAAAAACTAAATTTCATTTTTAAGTCAATAAAAAAATCAATAATAATTTTTCTATGATGATTGATTGCAACATTATCGTTTTTCCTAAATCAATATTCATATTTAATCACGTTTAATGTCAAATAAAAGCGAAATCCGAGAAAATATTTCAAATAATGCAAGCGCTTCCTTTAGCCAACATTAGATAAAAAGAGATAGGTATATATCCGCCGTAACACTGCGGGTTGCCTGAACGAACAATATTTTTGCCTCACTCGTCGTTCACAGAGGGTCCCTTCCAGGTGTTAATATGGAGTTCATTGGCTATTAGGGGAGTAAGATACATCCTTCATTTGAGAATTTGGAAATGACAAGAATTGTAACTACTTGGGACTACATTAAATATTACTAAAAATTTTTTGTATGCATATTTTTCGACAATTTAATCTCGGATTATAACATTTCACACCTTTTTACAGAAAAAAGGTACTCTCGTCCCGTGACGATCAAATGTATTATTATCGAGTAAAAGCAATTTAAAAATATTGTAACATCTCAGATATTATGAATAACATTGCGATGAGGTGTACCTAGTGGAAATGGAAAAAAATTCACAAAATTTGAAGTAGTTTTTTCATCATCATTTTCCTATTTTTTGCGCTTTCTTGAGGTTGTTTGGTAAAAATAAGTACTTCATTTTTTTATAGCCACTATGATTTGAAAATTGGCAACGTTATGCATTCGATGTGAGCTCGGATGTGAGTGCATCAATATTTTTGAATCGATTTCACTCGAAAATGATACATCTTATCGATGCGAAACAGGACCAGATTAAATTGTCAAAAAATATGCATACGAAGAAGTTTGAGCAATATTTAATGTAGTCCCACCCTGTGTTATACTCTCCTGAATGAAACTTTGAAATGATTTTATGTTCACCGCATTGGACATGGAAAGTTCAGCTCCTGTATCAAATTGCATTATTTCATTGCGTGGCGTTTCGAAAATATTCAAGAAATATCATCTTCAGGACCCCCCCCTCTCAAGGGGCCGTAACTCCCTTAAGAGACATTACTCGACTCATGTTCATTGAAATAACTTTTCTTCCTATTTTCGGTCGAAGAAGCCGCTGGTGAAATTTGGCAGGCTAATGGGCTTATATCACAAAAAAAAATTATTTCATATTTCGATAGAACACACCCAAACTAGCTCACCACCGCAAACCGTTTCTTGCTGTGAGCTCCCTACGTTTTATAAAAAATTAATGAAATCCCCGATTTTTCGGACCTCAGAAAACGAGGCGATGATGTGACGTCAAAACCCCAATAGTAAAACAAGACTATTCCAGACAGAGATGAATGATACATGATTTCTGACAGAGTGAATTAGCGCGAGCGAGATCATAGTTGAAAGAATTAATATATCAGTTGCCTCATAGTCTCCGTCGGACGTTTGGTATTTTCTTTTAACTATGGCGAGATGATACTTCTACGTCATAAGAGGGTCCGTTTTCAGAAGGTACTATTATTTATGTTCAAAAATAAAACATTCCAGTTAATTTTTCGATCGAATTATGTCGTCAATCATTATTTATGTATAAAAGGATCATTATAAACATGGTTTGAGTTGAAAGTTCTACTGAGGGGACACCCTGTATAATTGATGAATCAACTTCAAATTTATTTAATGCATTATTTCCACGAAATCATCCGTTCAATCTGGATACCAGAATTCATGAATGATGAAATACCAAGAAAATTTTTACATTTCATTCTTCACTTTGTTACGTTAAAAGTTTTTTTTTGAACTTCATATATATTTACATATGGGTAATTGTTGCTTTCAATTCAAATTTGTATATTGGTTACGTTCACAAGGTTGAAGTAAAGGGTTTCGCTCACAACTAGCTTTTAAACAGGGAGAGAGGGGTGAGTCGTAGAATTTTACCGGGTGATGTAATTTTCAGGGCGCCAATAGATTCACATACATAACCCTTATATACTTGACAATTCAAGAGTAATCGAACCTATAAAATTTAATCTATAATAGGAGTGACCAAATATATCTATCTAAAATGAACCCTAACAGGTAATAAAAGAAGAACAAGTCAATTCGGTATATAATCAGTATAGAAAGTGAGTGATTTCTTGGACTAATCGAACAACCTAGGATATTAAGCCTAATACTAGATAACTACTTATAGATACATAGTTTCCGGGTACCCGTATGACTCTCTCGAGAGGGAGCGAACAAAATCAAAAAGTTTGGCCCGTCCTTTATATACGGAACTCTCAATCATAGTATCCATTCAAAAAAACAAAATCTATGATTACACTATTGTACGATACTTAATCTATGCTACAACTATAACTTAACACAGTCCGAACACTAGGTTATAGTCTTCGATGAAAATATTGGCTCGCGACGATTATATAAGAGGAAGGGTTGATAGAAATTTTAAAAGTAAAGCCGCTATGCGGTACTTAGCATTGCTGCTAGAAATCGAAGGTACTGCAGGTGTCAGCCAGCCTATCAGGCTTTCAGCGATATAGGTACCCTCTTATGTAAAAAGAACCGCAGAACCACCATTTCAGTTCTTTTTTTGGTTATGAAATCAGAGACTTCCAAGATAATTCCAAGATTCAACTATAAACGCCTAGAAATTATTCAGTGAAAGTTATTCGTGCAAATTATTGATAATAATAAGAAACATGAAAAATGTAATCTACTTGAACATTGAACAAGTATTAAAGCGGCAAATATCAACTCACCTACGATCACCGGCTCCCTAATAATCGTGAGGCGTTAACTTGCTAGTTCAAAACTGATATCCAAAATCCTCTAACGAGATGATCCAACAGTAAGTAGATAACTCAACACTCCGAAATATCAAAAGATACCTTACTGTCGAAAAGCTAATGAATTTAATCCGCCTTCAGCGTAAAAATTATTAAATGCAATTCACTGCTTAGGATATCAGCATGACTACCTCAATATCTTTTGCGTTCTCGAATATTTTGGATTAGAACGAAAAATGGGTAAGGAACTTCACCGTTGATAAAAGGATCATTATAAACATGTATTGAGTTAAAAGTTCTACTAAGGTGTACCTACACGCCCATATTGGGACACCCTGTATAATTGATGAATCAACTTCAAATTTATTCAATACATTATTTTCACGAAATCATCCGTTCAATCTGGAAACCAGAATTCCTGAATGATAAAATACCTAGAAAATGTTTACATTTCATTCTTCACTTACCCGCGCACCAGGATACCCCCCGATGCTCGATCATCGTCCCCAGAGCGTACTCCTCCAAGGCTCCATTACCAGCCACCAGCGAGTCACCAAGGGCCGCCACGACGTCTATGTCCCCAGGCCTGAGTCGATGGACGCTTGTCGGACGCTGCGGAGACCGCCCGACGCCAGGACGCGTCGCGGCGGCGCACGGGAAGGGTGTCGATCTGGAGAAGGGTCGTTGCGTCCTCAGGCCGGACCTGGTTTGCTCCGGGTAGGTTATGGGGAAGTTTCCCATTTTGGTCTGGAAATGTAACGAGTCAGGAGTGATATACAGGGTGACCCAGGGTTAAACTGCCAAACGTTCAGGATCAGTTTTTTAGGCAAAAATAAGACTTTTTCTTCCCATAAGCATGTGTCCTTACTTGCTTCACTCTAGAGATATAGGGTGTCAAAGTGTTTAGTCTTTCATTAATTACTCGAAAACTTTTTGGCAGATTTTAATAAAACCTTGCATGCTCATTTGAGATAGGTAATAAGAGGCTTCTGTTTACTCTTCACTTAGGATAAAATAATTATTCCCAGTAGCGTCTCAGAGGATGATCTATCCAATATTAGGATAAATCATTGTACGCCCCTATTTCATCTGTATCTTCATTTTTATATAAAACTCTCAGAAATCTAATATTTTTGTCATCGATTATTTTTTGTATCAATCGATTTTTCGAAAAAATTCAATAGCTATTTTGTATATAGCTGCGAGAAAATCACATTTCACGAAGAACGTCAATTTTGCGTTTTGATATGAAAGCGTGGTGAGCGGTTGTAGAAAACATTAATTTTCCTGCATGTAACAGGAATTGAGTTGTTTGAACAAAAATCGCAGATCAATTCGACAAAAATTGAGAAGTTGTGTCGAAGTTAAAATATGAACTCACCCACTAGAAAGTTTCAAAACTTTCATTTTTGGTATTGCCTTCAGGTAATAGGTTACTACACCTTCGATGAAACATCAGAAATCACTTGTAGATAATAATATATGATAATGAAACCGTATCCATATGTATCCCTCTGAGACGCTACTGGAAATAATATTTTTTTCTAAGTAAACAAAAAACAGGAGCCCCTTATTACCTCAAATGAGTATGCCAAGTTTTATCAAAATCAGCCCAAAGGTTTTTCAGTAATCAATAAGAATTTTATTTGATTCTTTGGGATTTTCTCTCCTCGTTTCTATAAAATAAAAGTATTCGTATTATTTCAATATATTTGTAGAGGGACAAATCAGATGATTTGCCCCAAAATGTCACTGCGTTTAACAAATTTTTCTATCAGGGAGTCTAAAAGAAAAATCCATTAGCTTGTCAGTGACTATTTGTTTGAAAATATGTTTGAAGGAAAGAAATATAGATATATTGAAAAATTATCGAATTTTTACTTATCTTTGGACGTTTCGGGACCGAGCAAGATTGATAATACATTCAAGTTATATCATCAGTAATTGATTATAGGTTTGGCCCTGTATATAAGACTGTGAGGATGACAAATAATATTTTATACTCGAGTTATTCAGGTATAAGAAACCAATATATAACACAAGTGATATCAGCAGTGTTGAAACATTTTCGGATTTTGAAGCTGACAACACTGTTTGAACACGTTTGTTAAGGTGGGAGCATCCCGCGATGCCCAATTCCCACGATGTCCAATCTCTACCATGCCCCATAGATTCTCACGATGCCCAATTCCTAGTGTGTCTAATTCCCACCATGCCTACCTTTCTTGGATTGCCACCATGTTTACTTTTCATACATTCCCACCATGCCCAATTCGTACAAAGCCTATTCCCACCATGCCTATACCTTCCTTGGATTCCTACCATAACCACTCTCAATACATTACCACGATGATCAATTCCTACGATGCCAAATTTCCACCATGCCCACCTCCCTTGGATTTCCACAACGCCCACTTTCCATACATTCTCACGATACTCAATTCATATGATGCCCAATTCCCAATATGATCTTCTTCTTCGGATTCCCACCATGATGAAGGAAGGCACAGTGAGAATTGGGCATCTTAGGAATTGGGCATCGTGGAAGTGTATGAAAAGTGGGCATAGTGGAAATTCAAGGAAGGTGGAAATTGTGGGAATTGGGCATCGTAGGAATTGGGTATCGTGTGAATGTATCAAAGCGAGCATGGTGGGAATTTAAGGAAAGTGGGTATGTTGGGAACTGTCCATCGTAGCAATTGGGCATCGTGGAAATGTTTGAAAAGTGGGCATGGTGTGAATCCAAGAAAGGTGGGCATGGTGGGAATTGGACATCGTGGGAATTGGGCATCGTAAGAATATATGAAAAGTGGGCATGGTGGGAATCCAAGGAAGGTGTCCATGGTGTGAATTGAGCATCGTAGGAATTGGGCATCGTGGGTATGTATGAAAAGTGGGCATATTGGGAATCCAAGGAAGGTGGGCGTGGTAGGAATTGGGCTTGGTAAGAATTCGGCATCGTGGAAATCTATGAAGAGTGAACGTATGGTGGGAATCTTGTGTTTTCTGAATTCTCTCATAACCTGGCAACGTTCCGCCCTTCGGCAATCTTCGTAATAGTTGACATGAAGGTGGGCATGGTGGGAATCTGGCATTGTGGAAATTGGGCATCGTGGAAATTGGGTATTGTGAGAATTGGGCAACGCCCTACAGGTGTAAGGTAAGGTTACGATGGTGCCATTATTTTATGAAGAAAAATAGTGTTGTCGTCGATCGCCTCCATAAAAAATCACATTATACGTAACGAAAAACCGACTATTAACCGACTATTTCCGAAGACAACTACTTCTCGTCCACAGGCACTAACTTTTTATTCGCAAATACTTTTCGTCCGCTACGCGGTTGCCAGTTCTAATGAGTTTTCAGTAGATCTCTTGATTTGCATATCGATCTACTGATCTACTGAACATTGACCCATATTGAAAGTTCTGTATCTCGAGAACTATCGCACTCACAAAGCTGCTGTTATTTTTATAATGTGGTAAATTCTCCTCTCCTTTAAAAAATGTGTGATTTGTTTTTACGCCACTATTCATATAATAGTTTTGGGATTATAAGCGGAAAACCAGAAGAAGTTCGAAAATTTCGTTGTTCTTTGCGAATATCTCAAAACGCACCAGGAAATTATGTTGGATGATTTTAGATTCTGAATCAGCAACGTGAAGAACATGTGGTACAATAATAAAACTGACTACTGGATTTTTGCAAAAAAACGGTGTATTCCCAGATAACACTGGATATCCCATGGACATCCATAGCATATGCAATTCTCGTCGGGATATCCCTAGATTCGAAATGGACATCCATAAGATATCCATTGAAAGATTTGAAATGGAGATCATTCAGTAGATATCTTATGGATATCCATGAGAATGTTCTTGAATTGCAACATTCTTTTGATAGTTCAAATTCCCCAATTTTCTCCACACTTGAACACGAACTAAACCATTGACGGAAAACCTATATATTACGTTTTGTTTCTGGATTTGAAATAGATATCCATAAGATTTCCATCGATGGAGATGAAATGGATATCCTTCGGTAGATATCTTATGAATATCCATAAGATATGCACAATAATCATTGATGTTCTCAAATTGCAAGATTATTCTGATAGTTTGAATTCCTGAGTTCTCTTCACACATGTACACGAACTGAACCGATGACGGAATACTCATATTTTTTGTTTACCTCTCTGAATTTGAAATGGATATCCATAAGATATCCATTGAAGGAGATGAAACGAATACCTTCCAGTAGATATCTGCAACCATTATAAATGACTTTGAATTGGAAGATTATTTCAATAGTTTGAATTTCTGAGTTTTCTCCACACTTGTACATGAACTGAACCATTGAATACTCATATATTTCTTTTTCGCAGGGTATAACATGAAGTTATAGTCATGTTGTAGCCATCTAGTGGCAAAGCTCTAAGGTAGGATACAGAGATCGCGACACACACTGGATGGCGCTGCCATCTATAGTCACACGTACAGACCCCTTCGTCCATACGCTACAGAGTGGTACTACAAGTCAACCACTCTGCTGACAGATGGCACTACCTGACATAGTTGAGTGGAATTTTTCCATCACCTATTCAACTGCTAGATCTCATAACTAAGAGATCCAGGGTGAACCTACCTTAGAGCTTTGCCACTACCCTAACAACACCAGTACATTCTAGGGACTTCCCATGGACGTCCCTGATTTTATACTAGGACATCCCAGGGATGTCCTTTGTCGGGACAACGTACATACTAGGGTTGTCCCAGGGACATCCGCTGGCCGCTACAAAAGGCATCCAAGGGACGTCCTTCTGGTACATCTCTGGGATGTACCAAGTACGATGAAAGGATATCCCTAGGACGTCCCAAGGATATCCCAGGGACATCTTTTCGACAAAAGAAAAAAGTTGCAGGTCGAGTAGGGATTGAACCCGGGACCTTTGGCTTATCATGCACGCACCTTGCTCCATTAGCTATCATGCCTCCTGAAGATTTATGTACTAAACCGATTTATAAACAGGACTTGACTACAGAAACCTGAATGAATACAACTTTATTAGGAATTGGGTATAATTATTATCATTCTTGGGTGTTTAAAAATGAGGGACAAGAAGTTCTGAGACTTCATTCTTTTGTTTCATTATAATCATTTTCCGGAAGAGAAACAAACATTTTCAAAAAAATTCAACTCAATAGTTTGATGAAATTCAATGACTCTGATGTGAATGGATATCAGATACTCCAGGGACACGAATAGGATAACCTAGGGATGTACCAAGCGGGATTTCCACTGGACAACCACTGCAGGACATCCCCTGGATGTCCCAATCCTTGTACCGCGGGACAAAAAAGGGACGTACCTAGGACATCCCTGTGTTGTTAGGGTAGCTGGCTTCAACATGACTATATCGTCTTCGAAATGGGTGGTATACCCGAAACGTAGAGTTGTCCCAGTTGTCAGCAGACCGAGAGCGGCTGATGAGACCTGGTGGGTCGAAACAGAACTGTCTTCCTCCTGCTGACAATTGGGGAAACTCTGTTCATCCTGGATCTCTTAGTTATGAGATCTAACATCTTTCGTTTTGTTTCTGGATGTGAAATGGATATCCATAAGATATCCATCGAAGGAGCTGAAATGGATATCCTTCAGTAGATATCTCATGGATATCCATGAGAAATTCGCAACCATTATGAATGAGTTTGAATTGCAACATTATTTCAATATAATACCGTTTGCTTGGGTTGAAGTTTAGATACTAGGTCTTGTTAAAACCATTCGAATATAAAGGTACCCGACTCGTCACCCTATATCAATATTTCTAACATTACTCCGTGGTGACTCTGTGTCACTGAAGGGTATTTTCTGGGCAATAGCAATTGTTAGGTATAATAGCATTGTTAGTTCAATAATGTCCAATATACGTTTTTGTGTAAACACTTTTTATCCCGCGCTGCAAAGCTTCTCGCGTTCAGCGAGCAGTGAGCCAGGCGGAAATATTACCTTGTCTTGATGCTATGGCTAGACGCTGGTGTTTGACTAACTATCAGAAATTTTAATCACCCTGTGCAAGTATTGCACACAGTAGGATGACTTTCGCCTGATGCGTGTAATGAAATATGGATTATTATTCGGCGATAATTTGGTCATGAGTCGAATAACTCTATTCGTTTAGCATAACAACATTGTTTCTTGTTACCGGTATTTGTAGCAATATATTACGCAGGTATGTCTGCTGAATTCACAATGAGCTTGGTGTTCTAAATTAGAAACATATTGTTTGTTGAACCGGAATTGAGCACTGAGCAGTAAAAACGCTTTCTATCGATATTACCATTGACTATTCAGAAATAAATTAATAAAAAAATAATATGCATACGATTGATACATTGTATCGTCCCACATCATTCTTATAAAAAATACAGTGTGTTTTCTCATGAAATAAGCACCCCATCGTCCACAATGTGACGTAGAGGACGTCCTAAAATGACGTCTGAGATACCCCATATGATAATGTCAAAATGTCACATCCATATTCATCGGCTAGAAGAAGTCTCAGAATGACACGAAATGAAAAAAATCCCTAGGTGTGATCAAGATAAGGTTGCAAATGCACAGCATGAATTGGAGATCTCGAAAACGGTGAAGTATGCAATATGAAGTTGTGCAATCAATAGCGTCGTTCAACGGCCTTCTTAAATTTTCAAAATTAGATATTCATATTTTTTCAGAAGTTTTCAAAAGTGAATTTATATAATATCTATCTTGTTCTTTGTTCTACATTATCGATGAATATACAAGAAAACTGAAGATATTATTCCATGGTAACTTTTGAGGAGATTCAATGTGGTGATATTGTCAAATACTGTCTGTATACTGTACTTCACAATTTGACAGCTGCTCATTTTTCAACAAGCACAGATCTGGCTCGTTTCGAACTCAGATTAAAGGAACGAAAATATTTAAAAAACGTTTATATAAACATGGATGCAGAAATTGCTTCCTTCCATGCTTCCTACCATATTATTTTTCAATTTTTAATTTTCATTGCCCTATCCGTGATCTGATCAATTATCGGAAATAAGTGTAGAAAGAGGGAGTATTTTCCATGAAACCATAATTTTTGGGAACATTCGATATACCCTACCAAGGAAAAAGCTTTATTTTCATAACACATCCAGCGTGTAATGGTCCTCGGCTAGCGCCATCGGGCCATTATTCACGCCGCAGGACATAAACGGCTACTTCACACCCTTGATACATAAATAACTATTATTTCGACATCACTGATATGTCAGACTTATTATTATATTTTCCGAAATGTATCTCACTTCGGAGGTTGAGGACTTTTCATTGAATACTCACCAATCTAGACTCTTTAATAATTTCTTGAAAAGTTCTAATACTATCTCTTTGGTCTGATCTACATGGCATCATCACATTGTACATTAACAAAAGGAAAATGGTCCTTGGTAGCAGAACCATTTTCATTTCTTCTATCCTATCTAATGGAAACTAGTGCTGGGGTGGAGCTATTTTCTTTTCCATAGCTGCTAGGGAAAGTCACATTTTCTGAAATGAAATAATTGACTGTATACAGGGTTGACCAAATTGGGAGAGAAATGATCTACACAGTACCCTCAATTCGGATCCGAATTGTTTGTTTTGTTCTGAACTAGTTGTATAATAGTTATGGGTTGATAATTTATAATATTCTACATATTCATGTTGTCACGAAATTACATAGGAATACTTCAATCATAGATTCTAGGAAAAATAATATCCTATCTAATGGAAACTAGTGCTGGGGTGGAGCTTCTTTCTTTTCCATAGCTGCTAGGGAAAGTCACATCTTCTGAAATGAAATAATTGACTGTATACAGGGTTGACCAAATTGGGAGAGAAATGATCTACATAGTACCCTCACCGGATCCGAATTGTTTGTTTTGTTCTGAACTAGTTATAAAATAGTTATGGGTTGATAATTTATAATATTCTACATATTCAGCTTGTCACGAAATTACATAGGAATACTTTAATCATAGATTCTAGGAATAATAATAGTAAAAAAAGTTCATGTGAATTTGGGTCCTAAAATTGAAATTATAGCCATCTGAAGGAGTGCCTGAAATGGTGGTTTTTTGAATATATTTTCTAAGCCCTCTTTGATAGAATAATCGACTAACTAACTTTGTATGCCCAATTCGGAAACATTACGAATTTTCCAAAATTTTGGTCAGGGGCGTGGTAAATAGATGGGGCTAGGGGCACTTTTTCTTCCAACATATTTGTTTGTGAAATTTTTTGCAGTTCGACCAAGAAATATAGAAATCTCAACATTTTTTCTTTTTCCGAGATAGTACTTTTTCCTCGACTTTTTCTTAGGGGTCTGAAATGATATTTCCCTGCTTTTTCATTCAAATAGTGCCTATACATTTGGCAAAGGAGCACATCTCATCTGGTAAGCATCAACTTGAATGGGTTGTTACTGTATTAGATCACTTGTAGGTATCCGAAAAATTCAAAGATCATTCAATATCTGATATTACATGTCTACATAGCTTTAAATGGAACTCAAAAAAAACTAAATTTTCGATGAGTTTAGCTGAATATGACGCAGTTTATTTTCCCAATAGAAGTTGCTTCCACTTCCTAGTAATTAAGGTTTATTACTACGATTCCAGGAACATTTAAAACTTTGATTCGTTTTCAACCATAACATCTGATATAACATGTTTACATAGTTTCAAATGAAACTAAAAATCATATTTCCGATGAGTTCAGTTGAATATGACGCACTAAAGTTTCACAATGAAAGTTGATTTATCACTAGAATTTCAGGAACATTGAAAAAATTAATTCGTTTTCAACCATGACATAGTCTCGAGTGGAACTTGAAAAACATATTTCAGATGAGTTATTAGGTAAATATGACGTACTATATTCTTACGAAAGAAGTAGAAGTAGACATTTTGGATCAAATCATCTGATTTGTTCTCCTACTACACTTACATTGAAATGATACTCATAAATTTATTTTGTCATGGAGAAAATTTCAACTCTAACGAAAATTAATGTACAGTCGTATTCAATAAAAAAGCGTACAAGTATTAAACATAGAAGATTTCGGCATTCTAGTTCTCGTTGTGTGAGAATGGCTCAGCCAATGCTTTGTGTTTTTGGGAACCTATGATTACTCTACTGTCAACATTTGGTAGACATTCATTCCCGATAGCTCGTTTTACGCAAATATGATAACTTTAATTTCTCCCTGCAATATACTTGTACGCTTTTTTTTATGTGGATGGCACATTAGACGGTTCTGGAAAAAACGAAGCAGGATTATTCTGAAAAATCGGTGCTTTGGATAATTAGTGTGTTCTATCGACCAAATATATTCTCAGCAATAACTTCGATTTTTCAAATGGGACACCCTGTATATTATCTCCAGATTTCTGCTGGAGAGCTGATTGCATTGACCTATAACACTTGGGGTCTAGCAGTAATAATTACAGAGTTATAGGATGTGAAAAATCGAGATTTTTAAACTTCAAGAATTTTTTGTGTCGAAACTATTCATAGTTGGTCAAAACGTTTTTATTTGTCCCTATCCTAACATTTCATTAACTATCAATTGATATTTAATTGAAATAAATACAGAGTTGTTCAGAATTAAGATTTTTGGCCACCCTGTATCTATTTCAATTGAATATCAATTATTGATAGTACCTGAAAAGTTAAGATAGGGACATGGAGACCGTTTTGACCAACTATGAATAGTTTCGACACAAAAAATTCCTAAAGTTGAAAAATCTCGATTTTTGACACCCTATATCTTTGTTATCTTGACCCCAAGTGTGATATATCGATGAAATCAGCTGTTCAGGGCAAATCTCAAAATGGAATGATATTCAGGGTGTCTTATTGAAAAAAATCAAAGTTAAAGCCACTCTTCAATATAAGCGGCAACGTCGCATCGCTGAGATTATTTCAGGTCAATAGAACACAACTAACTATCCAAGGAACCAAATTTCCAAAATAATACTACATTGCGTTCTCCAGAAACGTTGCGTTCTCCAGAAACGTCTAATCTAATTCACCGTGAAGCAGCCTCTCAAAAAGAGAAACAGACACCCCACAGATGAACTCTTTAAAGAGACCAAGTGCTTCGATCTTCGACAGATATTTTTCAGAAATATAGTTATTGACCTTCACAAACATAAAAATAAGATTCGTAACCTACAACACGATTATTCCACCAGACAAAAATCAAAACTATTTTCGAAAACGGAAATGACAAAAAAATCTCTTGGTCAGCGTTCCTTTACTTATTTGTCTACTCGTATATACAACTCACTGGATATTACGATAAAACAACTAATTATATCCTCGAACTCCACTAACCTGCTGAAGAAAAAATTAGATTCATACATCCTCAATCTTGATAGATCAGTTATACACAATATAATTGAAATCAGGAATGTCTAAGATCCTCACTCTGATTGTGATTAACGAAAATAAAAATAATTATTTTATATTAAACTGGTTTTTCAAAATTAAGTTGCTTTCCTAATGTCTCATTTATGAAGAAATATATTAAATATCAACATCTCCAAACCTGATTATTGTGAACATCTTTCCCTGCCTTGGATTTCAAATCTCAATTGTATTCCAACATACTATATTCAAAACGATTGAACATAATATATGTATACGTATCCGTTGCTGTGCTGTGCTCACATCATGCTCCGTATAAAATATTGAATTGTCAGTGAATTTATAAGTGTTTGAAGTCATTAAAACACTCGAACAATTGTCTTAATGTCTGGAATGATCATAGTGTAAAATTGTGATGTGTTATTCCGGATAATACCATAAAAATACAGGTATTATTTATTTATTTTGTTGTTTTTACGTGAATCTAATAAGCAAAGCACGAGACTGTATGTCGCCGTGGAGAATCCCCACTCCCATCATCATCGTTCATAGATCATAGAGGTGTGAGGTGTGTATTTCCACAGTCTTCGTAGGTGCGGAACTTATACTGTAGAATTTATTAATTTGAACTGAATTCATTGCTGTACCTACCTGACGGCGTAATTACACAAATGACGGGCATTACAATAGATGATATACAGAAACTTCTACAACAACAAACGAATGAATTGAAAAAGGAAATTAAACGCAATCAAGATAATATTTATGAAAGTCTCAAGGATAACAGAGAAAAAATAACAAAATTGGAAGCTGAAAATCTGTTTATGCAGAGAAAAATTCGGAAAAATAACGTGATTATCTTCGGCTTGCAGCTGGAGGAACCCAATTTACCACAAGAAACATTAAATATACTCAATAATACTTTAGACCTGAATTTCACATTGAGTGATGTGAATAATATCTACAAAATAACCAAAAACAAAAATAGTCCCGTAATAGTGGAATTTGCATCATTCTTGAAGAAATTAGAATTATTCAAGAACAAAGAAAAGTTGAAGAATTTGAAGGCCGCGAATTTATCGATCGCAAACGATCTCTGTAAAAAAGATCAAACTGATCAGAAATTATTGAGAAAACATCTAAATGAGGCAAGGCAGAAAAACAAAGTAGCTAGAATCCAAGGAAACAAAATTGAAATAGACGGTCAGTGGTTTTCAGCAGCGGATCTAGAAGCATCTGAATCAGAGTCCGATAACGAAAGTGCAGTGAGTAACTTGGAATCCAGTGACGAAGCAGACGAAGAAGGTCGTGTGAGGGAGAAAGAAAATATTGTGGCGCAAGGCAGCAGTGAAAAAATCGTTTTGGAAAAAAATCTGGAGACTACAAATAATAAGGAATTAATCAAGAAAAGGAAGAAGTCGAAATCAATCAGCCCCAAAAGAAGCACAAGAAAGAAGAATTACTATAGTGCACGATAACAATCTCGAGTCCTATGTCGAGTATATCCCCATATAATAAAAAGTAATATTTTTCTTGCATGATTTGTGGATTTGAGTATGGATCAATTGATTAGGGATTATAATTACATTCCAATAAATACCATTGAAATCAACGATGTGGAAACATTCAACACATATATTTTCAAAAATAATCTAGCAACCATACAAGTTCTGCACCAAAACATAAGGAGTATGACAAAAAATTTTGATGAATTCACTTTATTTCTTTCTCAATGTCGAACTCAATTTGATTGTATTATTTTAACAGAAACATTTCAATTACAAGATCCAACATTTTTTTCTTTGGAAGGATATGATATGATTTATAGTTATGGTACAAACAACAAAAATGACGGAGTAGTGATTTTCATTAGAAATAAATATAATTATTGTTATAGAATAATAAATATTGGTGGTCATAAGTCTGTTGAGGTAGAAATAACGTCGGACAAACCGAATACTGGTAAAAGTGGTACAATCTTGATTACTGCTATATACAGATCGCCATCTACAGATAGTGAATTGTTTGTAAATCAGCTAGGTGAATATCTAGAACAGAGAAAAAATCTAAGCGTACAGTTACATATGATTATAGGAGACATAAACATAAATCTGTTGGATGTGAATGATCGAATA